AAAAAAAAAGATAGGAGAAAGACATAAGAAAGAAATCATATCTTTTAAAATTTGAATTAGATATGGTGTTGTTATGAAAGACCTCCATAGTGGAGAGATTCTCACTCAAGTCACAAGACTCCCCCCACCCCCCAGGAACTCACAAGAGACCATCCTTGCTGCAATCACACGGGGTTTATTGAGAGGACAGGAGCCAGTGCACTGGGGTTGAAACTCATTTCTCAGGCAGGGGTAGAGAGTTTGACTCCAAGTAGCTGGGAGAAGGGGTATTTAAGGGAAAAAAAAACCACAACCCACTAATCCAAAGGGGGTAGGGAGGTCGGCATTGGAAAATTCTGAAAATACCAGTGATCATTGAAAAATTCCAAAAATACCAGTGATAATCACAAGGGGGTAACTCCCTGTTTCTCAAGATTATAATCTAACTTTATCTTCCTAAAACAGAGTCACCAAACTGGCTAACCTAGATATTTGGCTCTTCTCTTCCTGCTTAGATTTTTGGCTCTATTTTTTCTTCTAGAGGGGTCTGGATTTATCCAGGTCTTTCAGTTGGTGAGCTGCTTGTGGTGATGGACAGTGGAAAGGATGGATTTGGTGGGAAAGAAGTCTTTGGGTACCTGGAGGCAGGAGAGGAAGTGATAGGCAGTGATGGGATGCAATCACAGAGGAGGGACAGGAACAGTCAGGCCTGGTCTATGCCAAAGGCTCCCAGTTACTTGGTAGAGAACAGTGGTAGGCATCAGAATGATAAGGAATGTGTTTTGAAAAGGCATCATTATGATACTAATTGTTTTCTTTTACTTTTGATAAAATGTTTTCAAGTGGTAATGTGAACCTCATTTGAAGTTGAGAATCCCTGTCTCCAAAGCACTTCCTAGTTCCAGCTCCTTTGTAGAGCTGGTTGTACAGGTGAGTGAAATGAGGCTGGAAGACCAGCGAGTGGCAGAGGCAGAACCAGACAGCTAGCCTTCCCAGCTCCTGTTTCATAAGAGCAAAGAACTGATGCCTTCTGTCTGAAAATGGAACAGCAGAGGCCAAGGGAAAGAGAGCTGGAAAAGCTCAGTGCATGGGTCCAGATGCACACTCCCCATTGTGTTCTTTCTGTCAAACTCTGCAGCCAAGAGGCTCAAGAAACAGTTAGGCTGGAACACAGGGGCCTTCCTCTGGTCTCAGAGTGGGGAAAATATTACTGTGACCATGACACAGTC